TACGACCGAGACACATATTCTACTGTAAGTAAAATAACTTATTTAGTAGTTCTCTATCCGACTGAATCCGATATGTACCTATTCGAATTTTCAATTTTTAGCCAAACTTCACGAGTTGAATTTCTATAATGTTTGAGTGCTTGGCATGGATGCCACAGTTTAAAAATAGTCTGTTGAGTATGCCCTAGCTTTCTAATATTTCTGGATCGATTTTATCTGGCGGTCAGTGTTGTATTTAGGGGATGGTTTATTGGACCATGCCCCCACCCCCGCAAGCCTGCAATAGGTTTTATTTTAAAGTGAAAATCAAGCCTTCCATATGCTGAAAATTAATCACAGGCCATCTAAAATCTGTTTGCTTCGGCCTCAAGGGATTTCTGCCATTCGTTTAAGGCCTCTTGTCGTGACTGTTCCTCCAATTTCTTTCCTGTATTACAGAATCTGTTTACTGAAAGAGCTGTAGATATAATCAACAACCACGACGCCACCAAACCTTTATTCCTGTATCTTCCATTTCAAAACGTCCATTTCCCAGTAGAGGTTGGTTATTTCCTAGTTTTAACAGTGATAGATGTATTAGTCTTCGAATAGGATATGGGTGTGTAAACAATATATTTTTTGGCAGCGGTTGGGAAATTTCTGGTAAAAACAGTATTTTGGGTTCATTAACTTCTGCTACTAATGTTTCGCCAAAATGTTGTTTGGATTTCGGGTTTCTTTGTGCAGTTCGGATCGGTAGTACTTGTGTTTTTTTTTTATTAATTTCACATCAGTGTAGACAATCTGTATCACGAAGCATATCTCTAATATTTTCTTGGGTCTGAGAATATACCTTTGGTTGAATACGAGTTGATTTGTTTGCAAATTGATCTCATGGTTGTCTCAACAGAATGGTTATTAAGTAATTATTTATATCATTGTAGGTACCTAAACAGTATGAAAATATGTATTCACATATCAAGGACAACGACCGTAGAATATATTCTGGTAGGTAGATTTCTAATCTTCATATTTAAAAGTCGTTTAGATACCATTTCAAACTTGAACCAGCAAACTAGTTATACCATATCTAATTTTAATCTACGATCTCTATTTAGACGAATTAAACGTCAGAAAACGGAATATTCTTAAGTTGATTATGTTATATTGTGTATTTTCCTATTCCACACCCCTTATGTAATACGCAAGTTTTCTTCAATTTGAAACCTCTCTTGAACGATACACACTCGCCTAGCCTCTTCCATTGATAGCCAGCATTTGTCCACAATCGACCTTGTTTATCACGACCGTTCTGATCCCCGGTAGGAATGGTATCAGCTATGGATGAAGCGTTTAAGAATGTAACTGATGCTTTAGAAGCTAAAGGTCTGGCGGACAATCTGATCCTGGCGTTTACCGCTGATGTAAGTACTATATGATATACAAACACTCGTATTGTGGTGATATAACATCACATTTGCCGTGAGTTCAAGTCTGGCTACGGCTCCTCTGGACAGTCAAGTCTGGCTACGGCCCTTCCAAACTGTCAAGTCTGGCTACGGGCCTGGGTAGAGCTATTGAATACGCAATATTATCACTCAATTATAGTTTCTACGTTTTGCCAACTTCGTCAGAAATCTGCGCGTATTATTTACGGTGATATATATTTTTCCAAGGTAAGAAGGGGTGCGTATTGTACATACCTGTGCACGATATTCGCAATGATTCAGTATCTGATGGATATGTTTTTCTTACCTCGCACAAATTATCGAAGTGGTTGTAGTCACAAACGAATATTGTTTCGTAATATGTGACGGACAACCACCCCAAGAATTACCAAGAATTACGAACTTCGTCTTACACCTTGACTGCATTAGCATCTGCTGTTGTCTCATGGAAGTTTGTACATACAGTGATTAGATTGTACGCCAGCGAATACAGCCCAAGACGAAGTTTGTAATACTCTGACCATTGTGTAGNTGA